GACCCAGCTAGTCCAATAAAATTCAGAAACCGCAATGAATGATCAAATGGAACGAGGAGGGAAAAGGAAAAAAATGTTTCCATTGTCATCAGGCGTACAGACGGTTCCCTAACACGGTCAAACTAGGTTGAGTCATGTGAGAAAGCACCCATATTCAAAAAGAAGATCACACTAATGTAGTGGGTAAGGTTGTTTTTTGTTTTTTTTTAAATAGAGAGGCCCAATAGTGTTTTCTTTGGACAATCTCTGCTTAAATGAAGATAAACTGTTACACGCCGTTGTAAAGAAAAAAGCCAACAGGAGGACAAATGTTGCTCTCTGGCATCCCAAAAACATTGAACTGGGCACTGAACTTTTTTTGCCCTTCTACCTTTTAACTAAAGCAGCCTGGTGACAGCGTACATTTCATAAAACTGTAAGTGGAAAAGAGAAGTTGCCGCTGGGGCAAAAACTCCGACTGTTGGGGAGAACGGGGGTGAAAATAAAAGCACTCCCCTCCGTCCTCTGCCCCTTCATCCACAGTATATGAACATGAGCCTCCTGCAAACAGGTTTACAAAGTCACCAAAAGCAAACTAGAGAAAAGCCAAAAATTCTTAAAATTCCTCTATTCATATTCACACAGAATAGTTAACTTTCTTTCTTAAATAAATTGAATAGTCCAAATAAACCTGTGTACACGTCAGCTATCAGAAATGGGACGAAGATTAGCAAGAAGTGGGAGGGATTTGAAAATTTTTTAACCTAAAGCTTGATTAAAATGTATTAACATGTGCTACTCATGCAAACAATGACAAAAGCAGCAACGCCAAACTAGTATGCCTCGTCCTCGTGTGCCCCATTTCCTCCTAGAATCAAAATCAAAGACAGAATAATCATTCTATTATTTTTTTTCATATAAATCTTTAAATTCCCAGTGTCACGGGAAGAATATTATGTGGAAAAGTGTTTTTTTTTTTCTTCTTCTGATGCACAAGTCTCCAAAATGGTAGAGGACAAGAGGATGCTGGTGGGTGTTTTCATGACATCTTTCAGGTTTTGTCTTTGGGGTGTGAAGGAGGAAGAGGGGAGGGCGATGGGTACATACACTTATGTAGTCAATGATGTTCAGAGTGAAATATTTTTTTCCCTGCAAGCCAGTTTCTCTCTCCTATCATGTATTTCTGCTGATCATCCAACTTTCTTCTTTAGACAATCTAACCATTTTTATATATCAAACACCTAAAGCTCTATCTTTGATCCACAAACTCTGAATCCAAAGCAGCAAAAGGTCTAACAAGATACACCTTGGTGAAATATGCAGTAAACAAAGTCTAACCCTTACCT